CACACACACATGCCATACATATGCTAAATGCAGTTTCATAGCCTATTTGAAGAAAATGTCTTTATTCCTTTAAAACGTTTATGCTGGACACACCATGCTCACATTTTCAGGAGAAGCCACAAGGAGTGATGTGATTGGTCAAACATAACAAGGCTGACCTGGGTCCCTTTTCCACTCGGCCTATTCCATTTTACTTGCATGTGGTATTAATGATATTGTCTGATGATTTAACTGATCTTCATAACTGATTCAAAACAGTATTCAAATTCCTGAGCATTTGAAATGGGAACACACGTTCTTCAATCAAATGTCATAAAACATGATGATGTCTTGGTTTTACTTCATTTTGAAAATTCCCATATATCTTATTTAAAAACAAAACAATACAAAAAACCCAGCATGGCAATAATATAAAGGCCTTTAAAAAGTTTGTGGAAACATTCCATTATCTTATTCCATTTTCCCACAAACTTTTTGAAGCCCCCTCCCGTAGGTCTTAGGATCATTAGGAAATCTACTTTTGTGCTAGGAATTTCCTGGTCATGACAAGTTATTTAAAAGGTTCCCATATTGTGTACTCACTCAACAAACACTTCCTGAGCATTGACTAGGCATTTTACTAGACACAGGAGAGAGGGGATAGAGAATGAAAGAAGAAAAGGGAAGGAAGGTGGTACTGTGACAATTGATGGGGATAATGAAAAAGGAAGTGCAGGCATAGTCCTTGAATGTGACATTTCACTAACTGTTAACATAACTAGCTTTAAAAATAGTCTTCTGTCATTTATCTTAGCTTCTTTTCAAATCAACATATTAGAATTTTGTCCCTATAAGGACATTTAGAAAGTGCAATAATGAAAAATGCAGTAATTCATGCAGCTAATGTCTCACCACATACTTTATAATCACATAATTTTAGAGCTTACATGAACTCATAAGTCATGTAGTTAAACATTAAACCTACTTATTTGTTGGTCCATTTTGCATGTTTTTTCAAATGTAAATCAATGGAAGACCAGAAGGCTTGGACCTGCCTGTGTTCGTCGAAGGAAAGAAACGGTCACTTCCAGCAGAAGTTGCTGGGCACCACAAGCCTTTAGGTTATGAAAGAGTGGAACATCTGGTCTGCTGGCCACCAGGGCCAGGTTCACTGTAATTGTCCCATCCTCGTAGGTCTTCAATCTGTAATCTTATTAAATAAATTAAATAAAAGTTTATGCTCGAGTCTTATTTTAATTCCTGCATCAATCCACATTTCAGAATTCATTGCTTGCATAAAATCTTGGCAACATTAAATTAACATGTTATGTAACATCTTGCAACTATACACAGAATGCAAAAGTCAGAAACTCTAAAATGAACTACTCTCCATGTCAAGACCCACTTTAAAAAGAACTAGGCCCCTAGTTAATACTGTTCTCTTTTAATTATTCAATTGACCTACGTAGCCAAGTCGCTGTTACTGTTACTTTATTTCATCTTGATAGTTGTTTTATAGAGCCATCTGAATTAAACTACATATCAAATAAAACGTTAATTTGGAGTAAAAGAAATACAGAGGACATCACTATTTTCTGTAGCTCATGAAAAATGCCACTCATCTACCTCTGCCTGCAAACCAGACTAGAAGAGTTTTCTTCAGCCTTCACAGTCATGCCCGAGTTCTTGATCACGTCACGCAACTGGAAAGAGGAACCCACAACAAGCAACCAACCCCACCCCAACCCCCTGCACAATCCTTCAGTCTAAATTTCTGGGTATGAATCCATATACCATACGCACTTGGAGTAATCTGTAATAATAAAAATAGTGGCTACCAGGACTGAGAGTTTTCACGTACTAGAAACTGAAAAGACAGGCATTGCTAAAACTCATTTCTTTTCTGAAGTAAAAAGGAAGTTTAAGAGGAAATAAGCAATTTGCCCAGGATGATACAAGCATAGCAAGCTTCTAATGGGTAAGGGTGTCCTGGTGTGCCACTGTGGGTTAACATGCTGGACAGCAAAGCTGGTGGTTCACACCAACTGCTCCTCGGAAATCTTACGCAGGGTCGCTATGGGTCAGAACCGGCTGGATGACACTTAACAGAGAGCAAGGGGAGGCTCTTATTTATCATTCTCTCTTGGTAGCCTCAGAATGTAGGACATGATCATTGCTAATGGCATGCTTGTATTGTACTTGTAATGTCAGCAGTGTGTGTACGTTCAAGGAATTTGCTTCGTGTGTGTGTGTGTGTGTGTGTGTGTGTGTGTTGCTGGGTTAGGATAGAGACAGTTCTTAAAATGAGATCCAGGGAGTATTAGAATTATTTTTCCTCTAACTTGACAACTTACAGGGTAACAATTTCTAAAGACTGCAGTTCATTTATCTCTAATATGATGACTTCCCTAGAAGATCCATCCCTCATTTTATATACACATATATATCAAATCCTTAAAAGCAGAAGGAAAAAAGCCATGTTACATAACACATGGGAAGCCCTCGTGTTTTGCTATTAAAAATCAAAGACCTTAAAAAATAAAAGTGTGTCTGGAGTTAGGTCCTGTTGATTTCTTTTTTGGCTTTCATTTCAGTGAGAGATTTTACCAAAGACATAAGATGACACTCTAGCTAGCTTTACCCCTGAAATGAGGAGAGTTGGCAGCTGTACAACACCACAGAGCAGCATTACATAACAAGGCAATTCAAGAGGCTAACAAGAAAACCACGCAAAATGAGGCTGGTGACTGGGCTCATGGCTAGGCACTTTTATCATCGTGACCACTTGGATGATTACATTTATGCAAATGTCTTGGGTTTTTCCCATAATAAATCTCTGAACTACATACTCACAAATCACTGTGACCTTCTAAGTGCACATGTGTGGGAGAGAACTGGGCCTGCTACAGAGTTTGAATTCTTTAGGGGATGTTCCTGGAACTCAAATAAGACTTTTCCCCTGTTCATTTATTCTTTTTATAATGCCATCCCAAAAAAACGTTTTTAAAAATAACATTAAAATCATTTTAATGGGAAGAGTCATGCAAGCAACTCATTGTCTGCGCTCAATGCTTTAGCTTCCGAGGAAGAAGAAGAAACCTACTTATTACAAGGTTCATTATTATTATTATTGTTGTTAAATAAGTATTTTCAAAACAGTGTCAGTATCTAAAGAGGCATCACAATTGATCCCAATCAGCATGTTCCTACTGTACAGAATTTACTCATTAAAGTCATGTTTTAGGTTACAATGATAAAATAAATGGAAGACAAAACAAAACTTCTAGAAAATATGCTTGTTTATGGAAACCCTTCAATATTGGCTTTTTTTTTTTTTTCAATATTGGCTTTTAATCAATATTGATTTAAAGCATGCCTGATGAACTTGAGTTAGCACTCAACTGTCATCCTTACTAGGTCAAGGCAGGACCCCGACACTGTTTGAACAAATCACAGAGTACATCTTTGGAAATATATTCTTAAATCCCAGCCATTTCCAAGCAGTGTGAATACAGTTTCCTATTTAGGAACCTAAATGACTATTACTGTGAACTAACAGACACATGACTTTATTCTTGCAAAAGAATTTCTCTAAGGTCATTTTCGTAATGAAAATGCTGCAAGCTCAGGTTATATGTCATACAAAAAGACACCGAGGCCTCTGAAATTGGACGCATTATTTAGGTTCATAAATGGAGAGAGATGTGGTTGAAAGGATCCACACATGATTTCTAAGTTTGATGTACTCAGTACTCTTGGTTTCATTTACAGTCATAGATACTGTATGAAAGGATAAGGCCCTTAATAATATATACAAAGGAAAGAGAGAGCACTGTGGCTTTGAAATATTAGCAATTTTCTGTCATACATTTTGGAAACATTTTTTTAATTAAGTAACTTATCTTTGATCTGAAAATTATCTGTAGATTTAAAAAATATCCATCCCCCCACCGACCCCCTGGGAAAAGTAGAACATACTCGGGGCTTAGTATTTACCATTTGAGTAAAATAAATTCCGGTGTCAAAAACCAGGATGAATTGCAAAACTGTAATGAAACTACTTTGAATAAGTTAATAAGTAAATAGAAGACCAGGATTTCTATCTCTATCACTTTTTGAAACCACACATTCCCTTTCTAATATCAAAATGAATGATATTTTGCCTAAACTACAAACATTCATGTCTCAAGAACTTCACCATAAAGTTGGGTACCAATTGGAAAGTTCCTATAAAAATGTCAGTGTATCCAACTTTATGTGGAACTGGCTCTCCTTGGTATGCTGCACCTCAGGCTGAATGCTCAGCTGCAAAGGCCAGTCTCTAAGTACAGCAAGGTCTATGCACAGCTTGAATCAACACACAGATCATTCTGATGTAAGAAGATTAAAGTCTAGTTGATAAAGCACATTAACACAATAATTACAAGCCACCCACAAAAAGGTGAAAGCAAATGCTCAGAAAAGTGAAGAGAAGCTGCTAGTATCAGAGCAACACCAACAGGCCCATGGTGGCCATCCTCCTTTTCAGTGTGGTCAATTCGTCAACAGAGGAGAAAAGACAGAAACTCAGGGAAATGCAGACCATCTGCTCAATCCAGATGCAACAGCACATGCTTCTTATATCCAAAGCTTTTTACAAGATAAGATCTAATCCTTCCCATGAAAGCTGCAACAAAGGTATTTAGACATATTTGCATCATAAATAAAAATAACCCCCAAATCATTATTAAACCAGACCTTTCTCCTATCAGTCAAGGAAAACTTTTATCAGTAAGTACATACCGATTTTAAAAGAATATTATAACAGCATTAGAGAAAATGTGGTTGGGTTTCTATTAGATTTATGCAGGTATTCCTTAGCTACAATCAGGCTTAAAACACTTTCATTCCTTAAACAGCAAGAACATTTTAGTCAAGTCATTCTACTTTTGGAAAGGCATCGGGAGTGATTACATTAACATTCTACTGCAAGCATTGTGCATTTCTGTTCTTGTAAGAAAGGTTAAAAAGAATAATCTTACCTTGAAATTGTGAACCTTTTCATATTTTGGAATTTGCTCGTTTTCTTTCAGAGTGGCTCTTCTAACAAGTGATGTCAACTGTGAATAAGCAAAGAGTTTCAGAGGTTGCCAGATTGTCACAGACGACTTTTGAGAACCCAGTTTCATTCCCAAGGCTGCTATCAATAAATCTTGCTGACGGCCCTCTGGTTTTGATTTGTGAACTGTAGCTTTCTTAGTTTTCCTCCCCGACCAAGACTCTTTGGATGGCATTTTGGAACTCACAGGAAAGAAATAAAGCCGATATTGATCTATGTCTGTTGATGAATTCTATTCAGCTAACAAATGAGCATTCTGTCAGCCAGCGCAGAACCCTAACCTACAGAGAGCTGCAGAGGAACATCACGGGGAGAGGTGGAGGAGCATGATGAAGCACTTCTTAAAAAGAGGTCGACTAACCAGAAAAATCCTTCTTGCTTCCCTTTTTTTTTTTTTTTCCCTTTTAAAGGGCTCTATATTTAAGCTTCTGAAAACTTAGAGTCTGAACAGAAAAAAAAAAAAAGTCGGTGCTACCATATAAAACACTTAGCATCTCTCATCCCTTTTTAAAAGCCCTGCAATTCTGACAAACGATACATTTCTAACAGCGTTCTCAAGTCCATATATTAATGTCCATTCTGAACCAAAGATTCTTAGATTTTCTGCAGTCAGTTTGTAGCGACAGACACCCTGTGAAGCCCCTAGCAGGGACAGTGGGGGAGGGGAGGGATCTGTCGGGGGAGGCTGGATTAGACTGGCCACCGTAGGAAAGGAGATAACCAATGAAAATCAAGCAACAGTATTTAAGGACAGTATTCTTCAACTCACTCTTGTCTGTTTCTCCCTCCTCTCATGTAAGATTTTCTTGCTGGCTCAAGGGGAGATGGGGGTGTGATGGGGGGGTGGTAGAAATAAGTGGGATGATAATGAGCAATGAATGAGTCATGCATCATTACAATATGGAATTTTAAAAAACCTATTTAAAAGCAGAGGGAAATTAACATACTGCACTAGGTTTCAAAAATAATTGCGCCACTGCCAGGTAAATTGTGAAAAGCCGATCTATATTCTTCTTTGTACATTATAGACTGCTGTTAGTTAATGAAAATAAAATTCAGTTTTATTAAAGAGAAGCAAAAACGGTTAAGTACTGTTATGAAAAAAAGAAAAGGAGTTTATCAAGGTATCACCATTTTACACGTAGAACAATGAGCAAGGATATAACATCTCTAACTCTGTGGAGTGATCAAGTTTTTCTGTCCACTGCTGAGTAGCTATGTTATTGGTTTACACTTAAATACATCAGCCATTATTTAATTCTCTAACCTCAACATTCTTTAAACAAAGAGTTTGAAGCCAGGTTATAGTGAAATTCAGTGGGAAACAATTTTTCATGTTTACATAGGTCCCAGATGTAGTATAAAAGACCCTGAGTATTTGTTTGTTGATGCAGTATAAGAGGTTCAAACCAACTTTATTTAAAAGCCATAATTTACACTTTTTGTTAAGGTGTTACAAGAAGCTTAATTTCCCCATTTTTTCCTTCAACAACCATCTCCCATCTAACTTATGTTTTCCTCCTCATGCTACAGTAATAATAAAGAGTCCTGGTGTGGTGTTGTAGGATGACAAGTACTCAATCATAAGTCAGTTTGAACTGCAAGGTTGGTGGTTCAAATGGACCAGCAACTCCTTGGAAACCCTATCCAGGCTTACTATGAGTCAGAATTGATTTGACGGTAGTTAACATCAACAACATGGTAATAAAATTATATAATCAATTATGATTGTAATGTTGTTGTTGTTCTTATGAAGTGACATGGAATCAGTTCCAACCCCCAGCAACCCTGTGTACAACAGAATGAAACAGTGCCTGCTCATGCACCATCCTCTCAATCACTGCTGTGTTTCAGCCCACTGCTGCAGTCACTGTGTCAATACACCTCTTTGAGAGTCATCCTCTTTGTCATTGACCTTGTGCTTTACCAAGCATGATGTCCTTCTCCAGAAACTGGTCCCTGTTGATGCTCAAATGACATGAGATAAAATCTCACCATTATTGCTTCTAAGGAGCATTCTAGTTGTACTTCTTCCAAGACAGATTTGTTCATTCTTCTGGCAGTCCAAGGTTCATTGAATATTATTTGTGAAAACCATAATCCAAAGCTAGCAATTCTTCTCCCGTCTTCCTTATTCATTTTCCAATTTTCGCTAGTGTATGAAGAGATACAAAATACCATGGCGTGGGCCAGGCACAGCTTAGTCCTCAAACTGACATCTTTGCTTCTGAACACTTAAAAGTGGTCTTTTGCAGCAGATTTGCCCAATGCAATGTGTCATTTGATTTTTGACTGCTGCATCCATGAGTGCGGATTGTGGATCCAAGTAAAATGAAATACTGGATAACGTCAATCTTTACTCCATTTATCGCAATGTTAATTATTGGTCCGGTTATGAAGATTTTTGTTTTTGTTTTTTCTTCCATACTGAAGGCTGTAGTCTTTGATCTTCATCTGCAACTTCAAGTCCTCTTTGATTTCAGCAAGCATTGTTGCATCACCTGCATATCTAAGCTTGTTAATGAGTCTTCCTCCAGTTCTGAAGCCTTGTTCTTCTATAGCCCAGCTTCTTGAATTATTTGCTCCGCATATACTGTAAATAGTATGGTGAAAGGATACAATCCTGATGAACACCTACTCGGATTCAAAACTACACAGTATCCCTTTGTTCTATACAAATGACTGTCCCTTGGTCTGTGCATAAATTTTGCAGGAGCACAATTAAGTGTTCTAGCATTCCCATTTTTTGGAATGTTAGTCACAATTTGTCATGATCAAATCAACAGAGTTGATTACCTTTGAATAATCAATAAAACACAAGGTAAACATCTCTCTGGTAGTCTCTGTTTTCAGCCAAGATGCAGCTGACATCAGCAGTGATATCCCTTATCCCATGTGCTCTTCTAAATCCAGCTTGAATTTCTGGTAGTTCTCTGTCAATGTACTGCTTGCTGCAGCTATTTTTAAATTATCTTCAAAAAATTTCACTTGTGTGTACTGCACTTAACAACAATAATACTGTTTGATAATTTCCTCATTCTGCTGGATACCCTTTCTTTGAAATGAGCAGAAAAATGGATCTTTTCCAGTTGGTTGCCCAGATATCTATCTTTCAAATTTCTTGGCATAGGCAAGTAAGCTTTTTCTAGTATTCCATCGTTTGCTGAAACATCTCAATTTGTGTACTGTCCATTCCTGGAGCTTTGTTTTTTGGCCAGTGTCTTCAGTGCAGCTTGAACTTTTTCCTTCAATACTATCAGTTTTTGATCATATGTTACCTCCTGAAAATGGTTAAACACTGACAAATTATTTTTGGTATAGTAACTCTGTAGTCTTTCCATCTTATTTTGATGTTTTCTATGTCACTTAATCTTTTGCCCATAGAATAATTTAATATTGCAACTCAAGGCTTGAATTCCCCACCCCCCCTTTTCTTTCTTTGAAAGATGCCACGTGCATTCTCTTTTGGCTTCTAACTCCAGGTCTTTACACATTTTAGTATACTACTTTATCTTCTTTAACTGCTCTTGGAAATCTTCTGCTCAGGTCTGTTACTTCATCTATATATTCAAGAGCAAATCCCGAGTCTGTTGACACTCATTTGTGTGTGTGTGTTTTTCCCCCTGTTTTTTAAAGGACATTTGACTTTCTTCATGTATGCAGTTCTCAATGTCACCCCACAACTCTTGTGGTCTTCAGCCATTAGTGTTCAATGTATCAAATCTATTCTTGAGATGATCTTTAAAATCAGGTGGGATATACTCAAGGTCATAGTTTGGTTCACGTTGCTTTGTTTTAATTTTCTTCAGTTTCAATTTGAACTTGCATATGAGTAACTGATAGTCTACTTTGAAGTTGGACACTGGCCTTGTTCCAACTGATAAAATAATTAACTTTCTCCATCCTCTCCTTCCATACATGTAGTCAACTCTAAGCAATTTTTCTACTTAATCTAATTTGGATAACTGTGTATGGAAATGAGGAGACAGAAAACGAGAGTTTAGGGTGCTAACAGTGGGTTTGGCCATTTTTATTCCTTCAAAATGGAAATAGTTACATTCCTCCATTAGTTTTGCTGAAGAGTTTACAAGTCCGAACTACTAGCTTTCAAATTCAGAACAATTATCAATGTTCTGATGATCTAGACGATGCGTATCACCCATCCTCATCTTCATCTCCTTACACTATTGTGAAAAGTCATCGAGTTGGTTTCTATATGGGGTTCTCAAGGAGCATGATTTGCATCAATTGAATGTGATCTCATCCTTCTGTGATCCTAGAGCCCTTTGGTTGTTCATTAACTATGAGCCATTCTACCTTACGTGAGCACAGTTATCTGTGGAGCTGTTGTTTCATAATTGAGTTGTACACATTTTTGTACAAACTTTAAACCTAGCACAGTATTAGGTCTGGCTGAAAAGTAAAACCAAATAAAGGCAGCTATTTTTATAGGGAGGGCTGGGATTGCGTGCTGTAGAGTTGGTTCCGACTCACAACCACTCTGCATAGAGTTTCGAGTGTAGCTGGTGGGTTTGAACTGCAGACTTTGTGGTGAGCAGGTCCGTGCTTATTCTACAGTGCAACAGTAGGGCTCTATTGGGAGGCTTGTTGCTATGACTGCCGTTGAGTCTGTGTTATAAAAGAGAAGTTAAGCTTTAAAAACACAGAAACTTGACGTTTGAATTTTGACTTCAGGAGATTTGCTTACTGCCTTGATTACCTAATTTGCATAATGTAGAAAACAAAGCCTATTTCATAAGACGACACATAAAAGACGAGGAGACTGAAGATAACGATGCTCAGTAAGTGGCAGCGTTAGAGGAATGCTGTGCCAACTGTTAGCTAGAGGGTAAGCTGTGCAAGTTCAAAACCGACATCAGTCTCTGTCATCTCATCAAGGAGTTGATAGTCTGCTTTTGGTCTAGAGAACACACACATGTCTGGACATTTCTTCCCTTCCTCTATTATGATCTCTACTCAATTTCCCCAACTCTAGTTACA